TCATGGTTTCCTTCGGTTTTTCCTTTCTTTCTCATTTTCCTTCTTTTTTTTTCTTTAGTTTTTTGTAATTTCTTGGGTTTCAACGTTTCTCTTTGTTTCTTTAGCAGTTTTTGTTGTTTTTATTCTTTTACACTTTTGTGGTTTTCTTTTTTCTTTGGTTTTCTATGTTTCTTTTTCGGTTTTCATTGCTTTTTTGTTCTTCTTTGTTTCATCTAGTTTTTATTTTACATTTTTTGTATATGCTAAGAAATATTTTCTAATACATGTTTAACATTTTTCCAATACAAGTTTAATTTGTTTTATTCATGGTAAACATTTTTTCTATACACAATTTTAACATTTTTCAAATGCATGATTAACATTTACCAAAAGCTAGATTAACTCTTTTTAATACATGGTCAGCATTTTTTCTATACCCATTTTTAACATTTTCAAATGCTTGATTAGCAGTTTTCAAAAACAAGATTAACATTTTTTTAATACATGGTCAATATTTTTTCTATACACATTTAACCTTTTGCAAAGGCTTGATTAACATTTTTTTCAAATACTTGTTTAACATGTTTTGGTTAACAATTTTTAAATACATGATCAATTTTTTTCTTACACATTGTTTTTTTTTGTATACATAAGCAACATCTTCTATATACACAACTAACATTTTTCATATGCATGGCATACATTTTTTTCAATTTTTTTTATGAAAAGTGTTGTTTATAATATATGTATTTGGAATATTTGGAAGTGTGAACAAAAGTAAAAAAACAAAATCAAAAGGTGTTTTTTTGGGATACAAAATAAAAGACGTGAAAACCCCCCAGAGAAAACAAGGTTGCGGCCTCCTGTGCACATGGGCTGGCCTATCTCAAGCCTCCCTGTCTCGTGTGAGGCGCCCGTCCCTTCAAGCATCGCCCACATCCGCTGTCTCCGGCACCCCCCGCAAGGCGTCGGCCTCCTGCCGGCTGTTGCCGCCGCTGGGAGTCTGCATCACTCGAGGTTCCTCCCACCTTACCTTTAAATGCTCATCATCTAACCCATGTATTGCTCGAGCACTAGTTAGTTAATGGATCCTACACGGCAATTTCAAACCAATTTCCCCTGCGGTGGCTAAAATTTTGAAAATCTGCCTAAAAGGGCCAAACAATCCTATTGACGTGCAAAAAAGACCCATCACCCCGTGTGCGTGCTCATGCCACGTGCTCTGCCCCCCCTCCCC